TGAACACCACAAACAGGATTGGAGATCCCGCACTGATGCACTCACCTGTCTGTGAGATGACGTTCCACATCCCTAGAGCTAGTCTATGCCACCAGGAATTGGCATAGCCAGGGACCCTCCCTTGCCTGCTGCCTGGCATGTACAGCACCGACCTTGATGAACCTCACTGCAAGTGGTGGGTCCACGTGGAGGTGGTTTCTTCTCATTTCTTCAGACTTGGCCCATATATGAACCCAGAATAGAAGTTTATATTTCAACATAAATTGTTTTAAAATTATTAGAAAATATTTGACACTTCATGCAGAGATGTTCTTCATCTCAATGATTCTTTCACATTTGTCTTATGGAGCTCCTGTCTAGTCACAGACTCACCAAACTACACTTAAACCATTGGAAAGTCTCTACAATCTGGCCTTGAAAGTTTTATACCAAAAGCAAATCAGATTTCATCACTGTAATTGTTTAGCTAAGTTTGGTATTCTAGAATTTTCCAATTTTATAAATTCCAATTTTTTAAAATTGATCTTCATATGATTAAATGGACTTGCACCCAAACCATTAAGCAATTGTATACAGATACTGCAGGGCTACAGCAGATCTATCAGAGCGGCTTTAAATGGCGACTGTAAGGTTCCTTTTCGTAGAACCACTTTTGCTCAAAGTGCTCTTTCTGTGAGACGATCCACAATTTTGAACTCACTCCCTGTCAATTTAAAGTCTGTAACAAGATTAAATATGTTTAAAAAACAAACAAAACTCTGGCTGTGTCCAAAACAGCATTGCATTCATGCTTAATGTATTTTCTCTTATCATTGTTAGTATTTTACTTGTCATGATGACAGGTGCGGCACTGCCTCACCTGCCTCCCCTGACTGCACGTCACTGCCAGGGAGGTGCCCTGGTTTCCCTTTTCTGGATGAGGTTTCCTGATGCATTTTTTATTTTTATCATTTGTGTTGAACAACACAGCTGAGCTAATGTTAAATTTGGTTGGTCTGTGCAGCTGATCACAGGGGCAGGGACAACAGCTTGAGCAGGGAGGCTTAGGCATCTCTTTCCAAAGCCACCTCTTCCAGTTCTTCCAAGGCTTTCCTAGGCCAACCGATTGACAGTCTCTCCACCGTATCCTAGTTCTTTTGCCGTGTCTCCTCCCTACTGGGCATGCACAAAGCACCTCCCTAGGAAAGCATCCCGAAGGCATCCTTACCAAATGCCCTAAACACCTTAACTGGCTCCTCTCCATGTAATGGAGCAGTGGTTGTATTTCAAGACACTTCCTGATAACTGAACTTCTCACCCTATTTATAAGGGTCTAGGTACCCTGTGGAGAAAACTCATTATGACTGCCTGTATCCTATATCTTGTTCTTTTGGTCACTACTCAGAGCTGAGGGTAGGAACTGTTACAACGGCAGTTGGCTGCGGATCACCCGTCACTACAGCTAGTTGCTGCTAGTCATGGGCCTTAGGCCTCCTCTCAGACTCAGGACCCGCCTCCAGACAACGTCGCTCCCCCTGACTCGAACCTCCCTCAGAAGCGGCACTCACACTAACAATAAATCAAGGAAACGTGAATTCAGTTTTACCAATTGTATTAAAATCAAGGCCTCTCCGGTACATGACACGAGATCAGAAACCAGAAGGGGCAGATGTCCCGTGTCATTACTGATTTATAGGCCCTAGACTGCTCCTTCACAGAAGGGGAGCACAACCTGTCACATGTATGAGGGGGCGTGACTAAGTGTGATCTCAACGAGCTTATGTAGTTTGACGTGTAAGGAAAAATGAGACGATGCTACAAAAGCCTTTGTACATGATGTAGCAAGCAAAATGAATTATATTCCTCGACAGATATTGAATCCCTGGGAGACGCTTTTTAGAGTTGCTGGCCCCGTTTAACCCAGTCAAAACCGGGTCATAATTTCATTATGATTCCATCTCTGAGCTGATCAAAAATCCTAGGACCAGTCTAGATAATTTACTAACAGAACGTAGACCGACAGGTAACCGAAAAGCTTCACATTGTAGCTCATCTCCCTCTTCACTACAAAGGACCAGTACAAAGTGCTCAATACTGCAGAAGCTGCATCAATCAATCTATCTAGCACTGCATTCTTCCATCTCTAGTGAACGAAAACCTAGAGATATTTTAACTTTTTCACTTGAGGCAGCACCTCAACCCAGAGAGGATAATTGCCAGAAAGAGTGGATTGCCCTCACTGGGTTGAGAGGGCAATCCACTCTTTTCTGACTGAGGCTCATGGCCTCAGATTTAGAGGCGCTGATCCTCCCAGATGCTTAACACTTGTCTGAAAACTGCCCCAGTAAAAAACTGGAGATCGCAGTTTGATGACATAAATGGGACATCATCAGCAGCAAATAGCAAAAATGGAATCCTGAGGTCACCAAACTGGACCCATTCCACCCCATCTGTACTGACAACATCTGTTCATAAAAGTTACAAACAGAATTGTGACAATAGGTCTCCTTGGTGGGATCTAACTCCCACCTTAAAGATGTTCGACTTACTGCCAGCATTGCGAACCAGATTCTTGCACCATTTGTATAGCGACTGAATGACCCTTAGTGAGACACCCAATCGCTGCGTTTTCTCAATCATTATCTAAGGAGAGCAGACTGGCCTAACGGAACCGCCTGTCCCACTATAAAGATCACAGTTTGTAAAAAATACATATATGCTCGTACATGCTATTGCAACTTTGTATGAAATGTTAGTACATATGGACAAATATCATTAGCATACAGACACGTCCAACTTGTGCATATGACCAAACTCCTGCTAGCAGAGATGATGCCACTGTGGGAGTGTGCACATTCTGTTTCAGTCACTCTCTCAGGTAAGCTTATTGATTTCTGCAGCTTTAGTTCTTGGAACCAAACTATATTAACCATAAAAATGTTTATTAGTATGATCAGAATACAGTGTTTCCCCTAGATAACTTGCCATGGCGGGGCGCTCATCTCGTCCGTGATTTTTGTTTGGGGGGTGTGTGAATGGAGACTCGTCCCAAGCTGTGCAGCTCGCTGTTTAAACCAACAGTTTTAGTGGGGGGGTGGGGGACACAGAGGCAGCAGCGCACTGTTTGCACTGACAGTTTTACAGTTTTAGACCAGGGTGTGTGAGAGGAGAGAGACAGACACACATCTCAGCCGTGCGCTGTCTGAACCAACAGGTTTTTTTTGGGGGGTGGGGGGGGGGAGACAGATGCAAATCTGAGCTGTGCGCTGTTTGTACCAACAGTTTTCGAGTGGCGGGGGTGCATTCAGCGTTAGGGTTCAGCATGAAGGAAGAGGCTGCCTTTAGCTTTTTAGCTAGCACTCCTGCATTGCGAGCCGCTAGTTTAGCGTTACGTCAGTGCAGACAGGTGGTTGGGGGTGGGGTTTGGTAGAAGGGGCGCTTGGTTCTGTTGACGGGGCGGGGCGCCCCGCTTGTATAATGGTAGGAGAAAGACTGGAATAAATGCAGAGGTGTGTCGCTGCTCAACTTGTGGGGGTTCTTTCTAAAAATTCATGATGTTCTCTATGTTGAGAGTGTCAGTTTCAAGTGTTTCTTGTTTATCATAAATATCTGCTAATTTAGATCCTGTAGCTGATTAACAAGCTTTGGTTATCTGTATGTGCTGTTTGTCAATATTTGAAACCATATTGTGTACTGTGATAAATGCTATTCAATAAATAAACAACTACTTAAAATAAATTGTAATAAATGACTAAATGAACAGATTTAAAAAATATATATAATCCCTTTAAGTGAAATAAAGTCATATTAAGGCAGAAATCTGTCTTGCAAATATAAATGGCATTTTTTAAGTTATTTTGTACTGTGCAAAGGTCTGCCTATGCTATATATTTTTTAAATTATCACAATTATGAATATAAAAAAAAATCTAAAGGAAAAATAACCCTTTCAGTTTTAGCTTTTAGGAGTTTTATCACTGTAATCACATTTTAACTTGTGATGTCTCATTATGAGGGTTGTCATGTTTGAAAATTCTAATTTATGGACATTGTCACTAAAAGTAAGTGAACATTAAAAACCAAATGTTGCAGCACACTCCACACTGAAAGAGTGTTTTAGCAACAATTAAAACTGTTATTAAAGGCAGAACACATTCTTTATGCAACGCCCCATCCCAGTGCCAGAAACCTAGGGCAAACATTAAACTACCATACTCCCGGAGCACTAAAAACATCAAACCCCTCTGCAGGGGAAAGAGCACAACTTGTAACTTGTACTCTAAAATATATATTTTTAATTTTTTTAATTAAAAATAAGGATGCAGTAACAACCAATAAAATTGCAAGCACATTGAACACTGTTCTTACAGTTTTTAAAGGTGTATGGACTTTATTAAAGCCTACAGCTCTGTGAGAAAACACATTTACCTTTATTCCGTTACTTCTGTTGCTGATGTATTTGGACAGACAGTCATATTTAGATTGTGCAGCAGACTACAGAGATCTGCTGCATTCAGACACTAAATGAGTGTAAATTGGAGGGCATGCATGCACAAACATAGAATTAGTGCTGTTCGTTTTATGAATTTGATGCAGAGATGGAGCAGTTAAGAAAAAATGAAGACAAAGTTGGAGTCTAAACCACCTGCAGCGCAACGAGTGAATCTGGGCCTCAGTCTGACCAAGTTTAGGAACAAATAGAGGCAGATTCTGCAGTAAAACCCAAACACTCATGTATCCTGATGCATGCTCAAAGTGGTAGCAAAATCTAAAAAAGTTAAGTCTGGTCCTCTGGACGGGTTTAAAAAAAAAAAATAATAATTGTCGAAACGTTTCTTTTTTCATCCGAAAGACTTCTTCAGTCCTTCAGTCGACTGAAGAAGTCTTTCGGATGAAAGACGAAATGTTTTTACATTTTTTTAGTTTTTTAAACCAAACCACTCATGTTTTTTTTTCCAGTTTCTCAAACCCAGCTTGGTTTTGTTCTGAATTCTGACAGAATGTAGTGAACTGGGTCAGTACCTTTACAGTGCCATCGTCACTTGCTGAGGCCAACCACTTCCCATCTGGACTGAATGCCAGGCTTTGTACGGCCTGGGTGTGACCCTGAAACACAAACCATTACGTCCAAAACTTTCACTCTCAAACACAGAATAGATTTATCAGTTCTGGTGTATGTTTGTTCTTTATATTAATCCAGAGTGGATTAGAGTTGATGCTGTCTGACTTTTGGACTATATCAATAAAAAGCACAACATTCATAATGAGTCTGTTGTCTCTACCAACACACACACACACACCTCTTACCTTGTACCTGAACACGTAACCCTTCCTCCGGATGTCCCACAGCTGACAAAACATTGATGTTTAACAAAGAAACAGGTCAAAAACATTAATATTGATTTCAAATATGAGCACTTATTTTTATGAACAAACACACCTTTATGTTCGTGTCCATGGAGCTAGAGGCCAGAAAGTTTCCAAACGGATGAAAACCCAAACTGGTGATGTTGGCTTTGTGTCCCATCAGAGTGCGTAACACTGGAGACAGGAAGCAGAACACGTTAGCAGAAAGGTGCAGCGACATCAAAATATTTACATCTCCTGACAGTTAAAATTGATTGATTAAGAAACCTCATTCTTTACAGAAGATGAACAAAAACAACAAACATTCAGCACAACCCACCCAGGTTCAGGTTCAGCCACTAAAGACAGCATGAAAAACTAGAAAACATCACCAGTTTTACGTTTAGATCAACTTGAAACAAACCTCTAATGACACAACATTTTCTAGATAAAATATCAGAAAGACCCCTGTACGTTTAGATTGTGGCTACAATAACTTTAAAAGTAACATTTTATTATTTTAATCTGGACAAAAAGATAAACAGACACCATTTTATATTCTATATTATCTTTAAGGTTCTGTGCAGAATCACCACCTCAATGTTGGTGGAGGGATTTGAGAACCCTCGTTATGGCTATACTGTCTGGAGCAACAATCCTTGGTAGGGACTCTCATAGCAAACTGAGCCTAGAGGAGGGGTCAGACAAAAAGTAATTCAAAAGACCTTGATGAGAAGAAACAATATTTATTGAGATTCTTCACCCAATCTGTAGTGTCCACAACAGCTTTTTTTTTTTTTACTTTTATTTTTTGTTTTTTTTAAACACACACACACACACACACACACACACCTACAATACAATGAATAAAGGAGAAAAAAAAAAAAAAACAGCCTCCACTCTTAAAACAAACAAAGGATATAAGACAAAAAGAAAACAGCCCACCGTTGCCAGTATATCAAGTAAAAAAAAAAAAACGGTAAGAAACAAATAAATAAAAACAATATCAGTTAATCAGGAACAGAGGAAAAGTTGATTCGTTTAGCCAAAAGTTGCAATGGTTGCCAAACACGTGCAAATTGCTCAGAAGAGCCATGCAGCGACATCCTGATTTTCTAAAGTTTAAGGAAATAAAGAATATCCCTGAGCCAGAGCAAAAAAGAGTGGGGATGAGGCAATTTCCATTTAAGTAGTATCACTCTCCGTGCAATAATGTTCATAAAAGTTAGAGAATGACCCTGAGATGGGGTTAAGTGGGGTCTTCCAGAAAAGACTCCAAACAAGGCGCTCAGGGGATTGGGGTCAATTTTTCTTCCAACCACCTCAGAAATAGCAGCAAATATCTCCGTCCAAAAAGGTATCAAGCTGAGGGCACTGTCAAAGTATAAAATTTGCAGGGGATTGTTGACATGTGTCACAAGCCAGAGAGACCGTGCTATAAATCTTAAATAAACAGGCTTTAGTATAATACACACGGTGCACCAGCTTGCACTGGATAAGACAGTGCCTCGCGCAAATAGAGGATTTATGTACTCGTGTCTGAATACGTGACCAGAGCTCATCAAAAATATTGTCCCCAATATCTTGTTCCCAAAGGCTCCTAATCGAGTTTAAAGAGCTCTGACGGAATGAAGCGATTCAATTATAAAGAGTAGAAATAGATTCCTTCAGCCCAGGGGTAGACAAAAACAAGGAATCCAAGAATTCAGGCAAATGGGGAAAAGTGGGGAAGTTACTATGGGCAAGACTGTGAATATGTAGATATCTAAAAATGTGGTGTGATGGAAGAGCAAATCTTTCTGATAGTTGTGCAAAGGAGGCAAAAACATTATCAACAAATAAATCCTTGAAGGTCCATATGCCAAGATCAGACCAAGTTGTGAAGGTTTTATCTACCAGAGCGGGAGCAAATGGTATGGTTTGCTGTAATAGGTGCATGAGGAGATAATAGTTGTAGGCCAAAATGGTGCCGTAACAGGGTTCAGATCTTAAGGGAAATTTGGACTATTTTGTTTTTTGTATACACAGAGGTGGAGGATTGGATTAGTGAATACACCAGAGATGTGAGAGAAACAGGTTTTGCAGAATTTGTCTCCACAGCTAACCAGTCGGGGAGGGGAGAAGTCCCACAGTAGCGCCAATATTTAAAAAATCTAGTATTGGAGGCCCAGTAGTTGTACGTAAGTTTGGGTAAGGCCATTCCTCCAATTCATTTTAAAGCAGTTAACGCAAGCCACCAAAGATAGTTTAAGCAGGGACCAGGGTTCAAAGTCTTCTTTAAAGTTTATTAACAAGGGAGAAAAGATGGCTTTAAAGAGGTCTTCAATCTTATGTGCGATTTGGATTCCTAGGTATGAACAACTGTTGTTAGCCCTTTTAAAGGGAAAGGCATGCAGAGGAAGGGATTTGGCTGCCAAACTGATAGGAAAAAGCGCTAAATAAACAACCTGAATTGAATTAATTGGAGATACGTCACTTTATCCGGGCTGCCTTTAAGCTGCTATATTTATATCCATCTGCTCAGAACAAACTCGGGTTCAGGCTGCTGTTTAATGCACCATATTACAAACCGGATTCCAAAAAAGTTGGGACGCTAACCAAATTGTGAATAAAAACTGAATGCAATGATGTGGAGGTGCCAACATATAATATTTTATTCAGAATAGAACACAAATCACAGATCAAAAGTTTAAACTGACAGAATGTATCATTTTAAGGGAAAAATCTGTTGTTTCCAAATTTCATGGCGTCAACAAATCCCAAAAAAGTTAGGACAAGTCCATTTTTATCACTGTGTGGCATCCCCCTTCTTCTTTCAACACTCAACAGATGTCTGGGGACAGAGGAGACCAGTTTCTCAAGTTTAGAAATAGGAATGCTCTCCCATTCATGTCTAATACAGGCCTCGAGCTGTTCAATCATCTTGGGCCTTCTTTGTCGCACCTTCCTCTTTATGATGTGCCAAATGTTCTCTATAGGTGAAAGATCTGGACTGCTTGCTGGCCATTTCAGTACCCGGATCCTTCTCCTACGTAGCCATGATGTTGTAATTGCTGCAGAATGTGGTCTGGCATTATCGGGTTGAAAAACGCAGGGTCTTCCCTGAAAGAGATGACGTCTAGATGGGAGCATATGTTGTTCTAAAACCTGAACATAGCTCTCTGCATAAATGGTGCCTTTCCAGACATGCAAGCTGCCCATGCCACAAGCGCTCATGCAACCCCATACCATCAGTGATGCAGGCTTCTGAACGGAGCGATGATAACAACTTGGGCTATCCTTGTCCTCTCTGGTCCAGATGACATGGCGTCCTAGTGTTAAATGGTAAATGGACTGTACTTATATAGCGCCTTTCTATCTTATTTCAAGATACTCGAAGCCCTGTACACTACAATCTGTGTCCTCATTTACCCATTCATACAGCACTCTACAAGATCTCTACAAAGCTAATTGAACAAATCATTCTAAAAAGACTAATCAGAGATTTAGATCACATTCATACACTGATGGGACACACATCAGAGGCTATGAGGGGTTCAGTGTCTTGCCCAGGGACACTTCGACATGTGACTGCTGGTGGATTCGAACCCCCAACTCTCGCATTGGAGGACGACTGCTCTAACCACAGCCACAGCCGCCAGTGTTCCATAAAGAACTTCAAATCGTGACTCATCTGACCACACAACAGTCTTCCATTTTGCCACACTCCATTTTAAATGATCCCTGGCCCAGTGCAAACGTCTGAGCTTGTGGAGCTTGCTTAGAAATGGCTTCCTCTTTGCACTGTAGAGTTTCAGCTGGCAACGGCGGATGGCACGGTGGATTGTGTTCACTGACAATGCTTTCTGGAAGTATTCCTGAGCCCATTCTGTTATTTCCTTGACAGTGGCATTCCTGTTTGAGGTGCAGTGACGTTTAAGGGCCCGGAGATCACGAGCATCCAGTAGAGTTTTACGGCCTTGACCCTTACGCACAACGATTTTACCAGATTCTCTGAATCTTTTGATGATGTTATGCAAGGTTGATGATAACTTAAAAGTCTTTGCTATTTTACATTGGGTAACACCATTCTGGTATTGCTGCACTATCTTTCTGCGCAACAATGGTGGAATTGGTGATCCTCTTACCATCTTGGCTTCTGAGAGACACTGACACTCTAAGAAGCTCTTTTTATACCCAATCATGTTGTCAATTGACCTAATTAGTGTTAATTGGTCTTCCAACTGTTTGTTATATGCTCAATTTCCTTCTTCCAGCCACTTATTGCTACTTGTTTCAACTTTTTTGGGATTTGTTGACACTGTGAATGTGGGAGTTCTGGTTTCCTTCCTGCCACTAACTATCTTCCACAGTTGCTGCACTGAACTAATTGATCATCATCTTCACCTGTCGCCTGCTCTGGAGAACGGGTTCTGCTCCTTCCATAAAACCTGCAGCCAGGCTCTTCTCCAGTGCTGGGACATTACCCTTTACATGGTAAAGTAATGGTCGGCCTGTTATTGTCTCCTGACAATGTTGGTCTAACAAGCTTCCACGCTTCGTTGTTTTTCAGTTTTTTGACTTCCACGTCAAGATTCGTCTCGGGCCCTCCAAGGCTTCAACACCAAGGCAGGATCCTCCTATGGAATGTCCCTTCAACCATTCATCTACCTCCAACCCACTCCTGTACTCTCTGTTCCTTCAGTGAAGCATCAACAAACCAGCAAAGGTACTCACCTTCTTCTCTTCAAGACGTCCTCCGGAATCCAGAACCACACAGCGCGCCTTCCCTGCTCCTGTATCAAGGCAGAACCTAGCTCCACTCCCTTTTCCCCTGGAAAGACAATAAAGAGGTTTATTTTTGCAACCCAGTTATCTGTCTGTGCTTCGGTTCTGCCATCGGGGGTCTTATCCTTGATCAAATCATGTCAGAATGTCCCAGCCAAACAGACCCTCAAGGCAGAACTGAAGACGGACAGACACAGCAGTCCATAATGGCTCAAAGTAAACGTATTGATGAGCATGATGTTATTTTTCAACAATTTCTCTCTCAACAACAGGAGATTCAAACTAACCTCCAACAGCTCGGCGGCATGGTTCACTCTGTCCAGCAGAGTTTGAAGGACCTGGTTCCCCCGCTTAGGATGACCCAGACTCCGGGTCCGTCCGGACCCCTGGCACCCGCGGTCCCACAGCCCCTTCGAGAACCTGACATT